TTTCAAAATTTACCTTGAAAATTTGATGAACTGAGAGTAAATCCAGCAAATATTGGATGCAAAGTATTCAATTGAATATGGAATACACGAAAATGAATGGGTGAGAAGATTTTCCTCGATCAATGTGTTATACTCCCGAACCTTAGAGCAAATTGGGATCCAAGGACATTACCTCTAGCCATATTCCAAGAGATTGTAAGGGTTTTCTGGAGACTCTATTAAAGCTCGAGGTCAAATCATTCTGAGTGTGGAATTAGGCGAACTCCCTTGCTAAAGAACAATTTTAGTAGATTTTTTTGTTGTCGACCTTCCTTCCAACTACAATATTATATTAGGAAGACCTATACTACACGAATTACAGGTTGCCACTTCAATGTATCATTATTGTATAAAGTCTTTTACTCCGAATGGAATTGGTATAGTAAGTGGGAATTAAGTCGAGGCAAGAACTTGCAACATTGATCAACCTAGTCCTCAGATTCGAATGTTGAGAAGCCAACATAACAATTGATCATGGGAGTTAAGGTTTAAAAGACCTATTGTTGTCGACCTCTCTAAGCTTGGTATTATTGAGAAGCATCGTAGAAAGGCGATTGATGATCAACTTTCGTTTGAAGAAAACGAAGCAGAACTCATCCCTGTCATGGAGTCATGGTAATAGCGATACCTATAGTCGGAGTCATCATTCCTAAAGTTCTAGTTGATATATGAAGCTCGCTCAACATACTCTATGTTAACACATTGGAATGGATGGGAATTATATTAAGTTTCCTGTGACCATATCCGAATGTGGTTTTAGGGCTTAATGGGGCCCTTACCAAAGCAAAAGAGATGAACAAGCTCTCCACGCTGAACAAAAGTGAATGTAGAGTTTGTAGTGTTCGATTCCAATTCACCTCATGATGCCATCATGGGGCAACTTTGTTATTTGATCTCATTGCAATTGTGTCAATGTACCACTATTCCCTTAAATTTCCTACACTTCATGGTATAGGGCAACTCAAAGAAAATAGAGACATTACTGAGAAGTTCAGGATGAGGAGTTGCCCTATAAAAAGGATACACATTTTCCCCAAAAGTTCATATGGTATATCAAGTCTTATCTGATCTCATCCCACCAGACCCACATGTAAGGGTAAAAGGAGAAGAGTCAATAGAATAGCTGGATAAAGTGGAGTTCGGACCAGACGATCTTCCAAAAGAACTCAGAATAAGCCATGAATTACAACCAACCCTTCGAGGTTAGATTGTAGCGCCCCGAGTTCCGTT